GGCCCTTCAGTCCACAAGCCGACCCTCTATCCACTGAGCCATACCAGCCAGGGCTGGGCTGTTTCTTAAAAAAATATGCCAGTGGCAGCCACTAGAGCGATTTCACAAATACATCGAGAGACCAATTCCAGCAGCTGCTCTCTGAGTGACCGTTCGTCCCGGGCAAGCGTCTTCACACCCGGGTCCTCCGCTCCTTCCTCGGGGCGCTGGGGTGTCACGGGGACCATCCTGAAACCCCCCTCTGCCTCCCGCTCCAGGTCGGCCGCGTGGGGAGGCTCGGCCAGAAGGGCACGGCCATCACCTTCATCAACAACAACTCCAAGCGGCTCTTCTGGGACGTGGCCAAGAGGGTGAAGCCCACGGGGACCCTCCTGCCGCCGCAGCTGCTCAACTCCCCGTACCTGCGCGACCAGCAGCGGCGGGAGCAGCAGGGCGACCGGCAGGCCCCGAACCCGCTGGTCACGGGCGCCAACCTCATGGACATCATCCGGAGGCACGACAAGAGCACCGCGCAGAAGTGACGCGCCGCGCCGCCTGGACGCTCCGATCCGGGGACGTTCTGTACATTAGGACGTGCGGTTTGAGGAACCGGGACGAGGACATGAAATAAAAATGGAAAAAAAAATTGGGGGGAGGTTTAGACAAATATTTCTTTTTATTTATGTATTTATATTTTTTAAGGGGGGGGGGAAGGGACATCTAGAATACTTTTAACAATAAAATGGAATTAAAAAAAATTTTCTGCCTGGTCATAGTAGCTCAGTGGTTGAGCGTTGACCTATGAACCAGGAGGTCACGGTTCGATTCCCGGTCAGGGCACACGCCCGGGTTGCGGGCTCCGTCCCCAGTGTGGGGCGTGCAGGAGGCAGCCGGTCCATGATTCCCTCTCATCATGGATGTTTCTCTCTCACTCCCTCGCCCTTCCTCTCTGGCATCAATCAATAAATTAAGAAAAAGATACTGTTGTCTTTGGCAGGCTGAACCGCACTCCGGTTGTGCCGCTGGTGGCACTCACGCCAACACCCCTCTGTCGCCTTTATGCTTCCTGCTGACCGCAGTGGACACGGCGTTTGCTCACAGGGAGGCAGGCCTGGTACTGGAGGTGGCAGGTCGTTCAAGGTGACTGTCCTGGCGGCCGCCAGTAAGCCGACTCCGGGGAGATAGGGCCCTTTTGTTGTCGGTGAGGCTCCCTGAGTGTGACCCCGCCGGCCGGGCCGCCGCCCGAAGCCGACCAGGGATAATTAGGTGAGCGGTCGTGCCCGTCCCGCCAGGACCTGCCGTACAGTACCTGCTACAACGTGTGGCATGTGCAGCCTCATTGCACAGAATGGCCCGGAAGTAGAGGCAGGCGTTTACCATTTAGATATGTTTACAAGGAGCAATTTACAGCTCGGCCGGCGTGGCTCAGTGGTTGAGCATTGACCCAGGAACCAAGAGGCCACAATTCGATTCCCGGTCAGGGCACATTCCCCGGGTTGCGGGCTCCATCCCCAGTGTGGGGCATGCAGGAGGCAGCCGATCCATGATTCTCTCTCATCATGGATGTTTCTCTCTCTCTCTCTCTCTCTCTCTCTCTCTCTCTCTCTCCCCCTTCCTCTCTGAAATCAATAAGAATATATTTTAAGAGAAGATAAAAAGGGAGAACTCTGTGACCGTGAACCACCCCCCCCCAGTGTGTCCTGTGCAGAGTGGGGAGTCGGGGAGCACAGGCAGGCACCCCACGCTGCCCGCTCCCAGCCCCGCTGCAGGCGGTGCACCCTCCTAATTACCCCGGGCGGGCACCTTGGGCACAATGGGAGCATTGAGTCCCTGGTGTCCTCAGGTGAGAAGGGAGGGTTTCGGATGAGCCTGTGAGGACGCAGAGTATCGGGTGCCACATTCCAGGAATGGGCAGATGACTACAGATCTGAGCCGTCTAGGGAAACGGGCAGAAACGGGGCGACTGACATGCAGCCTCACAAGCTGGGAGGCCCCGCGTGGAAGGCGAATCTCTAACACGTTTAAATGGAGCCTTCACGGAACCGCTGACCATGCGGAGGAGAGAGCCTGGGGCTGGACCACAATGACCACTCTTTGTTTGTTTTGTTTATTTGTACTAGAGGCCCAGTGCATGAAATCGTGCACCAGTAGGGTCCTCGGCCTAGCCTGCGATCAGGGCCATCTTCTGTCCACTCGCCAGTCCCCAGTCCCGCCCCACCGCCACCCATCCCGGTTCCCTGTGGCTCCCCGTTGGCCATACAGCGATGGGAGCCTGCAGGATGGGGGGAGGGACCAAGAGGTGGTCAATGCACCTCATAGTGACTGGTCGATCTGGTCTTTACGCCGTTATGGTCGCTGGCCTTTTATTATATAGGGTTGATTTCAGAGAGGAAGATAGAAACATCAATGATGAGAGGGAATCCTGATCGGCTGCCTCCTGCACGCCCCCCACTGGGGATGAAGTCCGAAACCTGGGCATGAGCCCTGACCGGGAATCGAACCGTGACCTCCTGGTTCATAGGTTGATGCTCAACCCCTGAGCCACGCCGGCCGGGTGGGATCTCCTGGAGCAGAGAGGTGATGGGTCCTGTTCCTGTCATGATGAGGGTCTCAGGGCTTGCTCAGAACCCCGGGGAACGGTTCTCTCCATCCTCACTGACCCCTAGAGCTCCCTTGATGTACCAACAGGTTACCCAGTAGGCCCTGGGGCTGACAATGGTTTTTTGACTCCTCCTAATCTTCTCTGGAATGAACCCAGCGTGATTCAAAGAGGAAAGAGCGTCTGGAACAGGTACTAATCCCCGAGCTCTCCTCTTTCTATATTAAAAAGGGATTATGAGATTCCTGGAACGGCCTCTGTTCAAATGACGGGCAGACTTGCTCAATGGATTTAGGTTGCGTCAGTCACCGAGTGGTCACGATGGAATTCTTAAAGATTTCATCAGCCGATCAGACCGCAACGTGCAGGCGCCCATACTCCCAAGGCTCCTGGCCCGACACGTGTTCGAATTTAGAAAGAAAACACAAGATCTGCCCAATTTAAAACGGCCTTTGTGCTCAACTCTGGCAGGAATTTGAGAACCAGAAGAGTCTCTGTCGAGGCGGCTGCCCAGGGCAGTGGCTCGAACCAAAGACACGGCAGTAAAAAATGCAACGCAGCACGAACTCCTACAAAGCAGGACGATACAGCCCACGTTTTAACGATTTAAAAACTCTGACATTGGGTAATTTATAATAAATATCTGTCCCCAGGGACTGTTAACTGGCCCGAGTGAAGGTTTTCCTGTGAACCTTAACCTAATCTAAAAGGCTTCCAATGGGTTTGCATCACTTCTTTAAAAAAAAATTATTTTTATTGATTTCAGAGAGGAAGGGAGAGGGAGAGAGAAACACCAATGATGAGGGAGAATCATGGATCGCTGCCTCCTGCACGCCACCCTCCTACTTCCCACCGGGGATCGAGCCCACAACCAGGGCATGTGCCTCAACCAGGAATTGAACTGTGACCTCCTGGTTCATAGGTTGATGCTCAACCACTGAGCCAGGCAGGCCAGGCTTCCTCCGACCTCTTTTCATGTGTTTTCTTTCAGTTTGTCTCCCTCTGGTGGATTTTTTAAGAAGACGTGCATTTATTTGCAGAATAACTGGATTATTTGGGACAGTGAAGAGGGAAGAGGAATATTTTGATGGAGGGAGGTCCCCGGGAAGGAGGAAGCTGAGGCCAGAAGTGGGGCGCCTGTTTCTCCGAGGCCAGAGCTAGGGAGGGGCTCAACCAAAGGGGAGTGGGCAGCTGGTGGTGAATGAGATCGGAAACTAAGGAAAAATCATCTGTAGGATTCTTAGCCGACGGCAGATGCAGTTGGTTTCTGAGGTCGTTCATTTATGGAGTCCTGTCTCATGCAACAAGCTCGCACTTTCATACACATCGGCTACTGCAGCTCTCACAAATACTTGACAGTTGCCTGTACTGTATACAGTGAAAACATGTGTCAATTATATTGATAGACAGTAACCAGTCACATTTTAAAAACCATTTCCAAAGTATTCTCTAACTTGAATTTTCCAGCAATCATTGATGTTTTATCTCATATCACAAGCACAGAAACCAAGGCTCAGAGAGGTAAAGTGATTTTAGTGATACATAGATTTTTGTTTTGTTTTGTTTAAATATTTTTATTGATTTCAGAGAGGAAGGAGAGGGAGAGAGAGATAGAAACATCCATGATGAGAGAGGATCATGGATCGGCTGCCTCCTGCACGCCCCACACTGGGGATGGAGCCCACAACCCCGGAATCGAACTGTGACCTCCTGGCTCATAGGTCCACGCTCAAGCCACTGAGCCACACCGGCCGGGAGCCCCAGGCAGGGTTGATCAGTCCTTCAAGGAACTCCTACTCGGAGGAGTCCAGTTCGGAGCAGGTTTGAAAACGCCGGCATCGTGAACAGCTGCGGTCCCGGCAGCGGGGCCTGAATGCGATGCGGGCACAGAGCTCTGAGCTGCCCGCTGCTCGGGTCCACAGCCCGCGTGGGAGCATCTGGCGTTCCCTCCTCGCTGGGCTTGGAGACCTGTCCCAGTTGGGGGTTTCCAGAATTAAGCGAAACAAACTCAAGGTAAAATATTCAGTCCGTTCCGATCGCCGCGCTCTGCCTCCGAAACCCTAGAAAAGCGCAGCGATGACCAATCGGGGACAAACAGCCACTTTTGCGGTGGACGGACTCCGCGCTTACCCTGAAGGTGGACGAGTGTCACTGCCCCAGGGTCTAGCGTTCGATTCCCCGAGTCCCAGCCACCGGCGCTTCCGGGAGGGGCGGGAGGAAGCCAAGGCGTGGCGCCGACGCGACGTCCAGCAGCCAATCAAAAGGCGGGGCCGACGCGATGTCATCGCGGCGCCCAGCAGCCAATCCGAATGCCACACCCTGCAGCCAATTAGAAGGCGGCGCCGACGCGGCCGCAGCCGCTAATCAGAACGCGACGCCCAGCAGCCAATCAGAACGCGGCTTCCAGTAGCCAATCAGAAGGCGGAGCGCCCATTCAAATTGTGGGCACCGGGAAAGCGGGCGGTGAGTGTCGCGGGCACCGTGTCCGGCCTTCTCGGCGGTGGGGGGCGTGCGAGGTGGGGGTGCCGTGTGTGGGGGTGCGGCCCTGGGGGGGGTGCGGTCGTGGGGGTGCGGACGGTGGTCTCGGCTCCGGGCCTCCACGGAGGGAAGGGAGGGAGGACGGACGGCCGGACCCGGCGGCCGGACCTCAGGCTCCGGTCCAGTCTCACCGCAGTGACCAGCGACGCCCAGAACCGCGGGGACGCTGGGCAGGGCGGTGACTGCTTTCCCGAGGGTCCGTCCCGTCGGATGGAGAACTCGCCCAAACGGCCCACCTGTGGGTGCGAGCAGCGGAGTGTCCGGCGGCGGCGGACTTGCTGGCCTTCCGTGTGTCTGCATAGGAGGAAGGGCGTGTCCTTGGACTGGAAAGCTTGCCCGGAGATGCTCATGCCCAGGGTGTTGTTGTTTGTTTAGAACTTACAAAAGACGCCCTTAAAAATGAACTTCTGCATTTTTGTTCTTTAAAAAAAATTTATATATATATTGGAGGCCCGATGCTCAAAATTCCCCTGGCTGATGGCCCCGGCTTCCTCCGGAAGGTTGTCTGGAAGGCTGTCCGGTCTAATTAGCATATTATGCACACATATATATCTATATCTATATATCTATATCTATATCTATATCTATATCTATATCTATATCTATCTGTCTATCTATATATTGATTTCAGAGAGGAAGGGAGGGGGAGAGAGAGATGGAGAAAGAGAAACATCAGTGATGAGAGAATCGTTGATCGTCTGCCTCCCCTACTGGGATTAAGGCTGCAACCCGGGTATGTGCCCTGACCGGCAAATCAGACCGTGACCTCCTGGTTCCTAGGTTGATGCTCAACCACTGAGCCCCGCCGGCCAGCTGCCTTTTCCTCTTTGAACCCGGCTGGAACGTCCTGTATATTGAACATTTCCGGCCTGTAAGCATGGGTTTTGTTTTTCATATTTATTGATCGGGGAGTCTTGTTCGGATTTTGACCGATTCGGCCTCGGTGGCTTGAAATCATTCTGTCCATATCCCACTAGGCATCCCTGTTTGTAACATCTCCTCAACACGTATTACGAAAATGCTTCTCCGTCTTTGACTTAGGTGCTAGGGTTCCCTTTCACCCCCCTCCCTGCTTCCCCAACTGGGGGTACTTTTAAAAAAAGCACAACACTTTGCTGACATGCACTTTTTACATCTTTTAAGTCCCTTGGCACCTTTGACCTGTTGTAAGGGTGATGTGTCTATTCCTTCTGGACTAAGGAACTAAGAATAGGGGTCTTGTCTTTGGAATCCGTAGCATTGGCATACGGGGATGTAAATAACATGTGATATAATGACCGTCAGCTCTACGAGGGCATGGATTTGTCTGAGCTGCTTGGAAACAGTTCTGAGCCGGACGTCGCCATTTATTCTAACGTATTCTAATGTCCTGGAAGGTCCTCATGTCTTAGAAGCCTGTTTGTGGTCTGTGCAATCTAATTTTTTTTTTTTTAATAACTTAACAGATACTTTTGGAAACGGATCGACTGGACGTCAAAGGAGCATCCAGAGCAGAGCTTAGAGTCTTCAGCGACATCCTTTTAAGAGTAACTCGCTGCCACCATGTCAGTCTACACGGCACAGCGAGGGCCCAGCAGCGGCCTCCCCGGCGCTCCTGCTTCCCAGAGGAGCTCATCACCGGACGGCCTCGGCCTGGGGAGCAGCCGGAAGCAGCTGTCCAGCTCGGACGTGTCCGAGCGTGAAAACGACGACCCGTTCCTGAGGTCCGCAAGGAAACTCAGAGACATAAACAGCACCTACGTGATCTCCGCCTGTAAGGCCCCTGGAGATGCGCCCCTGACCCCTAACCCTGCGGGTAGACTGACCCTTCAGAGGAGAGTTACAAGGAACAAAGAATCATCGTTGCTTGGGAGTGAGGTGGGAGAGTCATCTGAAAGAAAGACAGAAACTCGTCTTAAGTTACAACGTTGCGTCCGAGCAGGTTCCGTGGACAGGCGGACACCAGCTGGAGCAGATTCCGTGGACAGGTGGACACCAGCTGGAGCAGATTCCGTGGACAGGTGGACACCAGCTAGAGCAGATTCCGTGGACAGGCAGAAAACAGCCAGAGCAGATTCTGTGGACAGGTGGACACCAGCTAGAGCAGATTCCGTGGACAGGCAGGCAACAGCTGGAGCAGATTCCGTGGACAGGCGGACACCAGCTGGAGCAGATTCCGTGGACAGGCGGACAACAGCTGGAGCAGATTCTGTGGACAGGCGGACAACAGCTGGAGCAGATTCCGTGGACAGGCGGACAACAGCTAAAGCAGATTCAACGACACAGAGCGTGGGAGGGGCCGCAGCAAGTGATGGTGCTTCACGGGACACCAGTAGGAAGGTAAGGATTGTCAGTAACAAGAAAAACTCCCCCATTGCATCGTCTGCACCCTCACCTGAAGATGGTGACACTGGACTTGTGGCCGATGAAAAAGACAGAGGAACATTTTCTGCCCTCAGGGGAGCAAACGACAGCGTGACTCGTGAGTACTTCAGTCACAGCACGCCCATCCGTCCCCAGAAAGAGGCTGAGGAGGCTCGACCAGGACGCCTGGCCACGAAACCCTTTCAGAGCCCGTTGGACGTCAGAGCGTCGGGAACAGGAAGCTGGCACCACAGAAATCTGGGGGAGGATGTTGCGAAAAGCAGAAATGAGTTTGAAAGCTTAGGGAGAGGGACGCCTGCGAAACGCACTGCAGGGCACACGTGGACCCCACGGCGCGGCACGCCTCAGCCTCAGAGTGCGGCGATGTCCACCCTGAGACCCAGGACGCCCAGCTCCCAAGGTCAACAGAAGCCCAAACGCTCTCTTTTCGCAAATAAAAGGGAAGGGTCACACAAGCATACGCTCCCTCCCACGGAGGAGGCTGCGGCTCAGAGCGCCTCCACAGAGAGGGACCCCTTAAAAGCGGAGAACAGTCAGGTGACGGTGGCGGTCCGCGTGAGGCCCTTCAGCAAGAGGTAGGTCACACCTTTGAAACCGAAGGCAGGGCTGGTGCTCATGCGTCTCACACTTGTCGGTGACATTTTATTTTATTTTATTTTATTTATTTTTTATTTTATTTATTTTATTTTATTATTTTATTTATTTTATTTTATTATTTTATTTTATTTTATTTTATTTATTTTACTTTATTTTATTATTTTATTTTATCTTATTTATTTTATTTTATTTTAGTGACGTTTTTATAGAGAAAACTTGGGTTGAGTTGTAGTGCGTCCATTATTTTAGGGGACTGGCCGTGCCCCGGGGATGGGCCGAGTGGTTTCCAGGATAAATTCTGATCTGAAGCAGAGTTTGGGGGCAAAAAGGGATATCGAGGGCCAGACCAGGACCCAGTGCCTCCTGCAGATCTGGAGCCAGTGAGGGATTTCCACCAGGTCCGAGGGGGACGGAGGGTGGACGGGAAGGTCCGAGGCTCCGAGGGAGGTGCCTGGGGGCAGGAGGGACCTGCAGGGCAGCGGGAGCAGCAGGGGGAGCCAGAGACGTTCAGCTGGGCTTGTTGGGGTTATATGTGTGCACCTTGCCCGCTTTCTATAGACTTGTGCCTCCGAAGTTTCTTTATAAAACACGAGAAGTAAGTTTCCAGATCTGAGCTGAAGCGGACAGGTAGACCACAGCAAGCGGGGAAAGGGAGGGATCCAGAGGCAAAGGTTGGAAAATGCTGTAAAAGGAGGGTCCACGTTCCGGGCGAGAAACCGGAACCCCGTCTTCCCCAGAGTGGAGGCGGGAGCCCCGGGAGCTGTGTTTCGGAAACACATTATAATCATGCCTGCTGCTCTGCATTTTTTCCTTTTTTTCTTTCTTTTTTTTAAAATGTTTTTATTGCTTTCAGAGACAGGAAGGGAGAGGGAGAGAGAGAGAAACATCAGTGATGAGAGAGAAACATCAGTGATGAGAGAGAATCACTGATGGGCTGCCTCCTGCAGGCCCCACACTGGGGATCGAGCCCACAACCCGGGCCTGTGCCCTGACCGGGAATCGAACCCTGACCTCCTGGCTCACAGGTCGACGCTCAACCCCTGAGCCACGCCGGCCGGGCTGCTCTCTATTTTCCACATAAAACTGAAACCTCATCCCGCCCGGAGGAGTGTTGGAGGAGTGTTACGTTCACCTAGCTTTGAGGTCTTCATCCTCAGAATAACGGCGGTAACTTGACCTTCTTCTTTGCGCTCCGTCTCGAAGAGAGAAGGACGAGGACGCGGCCCAGGTGGTCTTCCTGGACGGGGAGGAGATCGCCGTGCGGCACCCGGACCTGAGACAGGCGTACAGCTTCCTCTACGACGTCTCCTTCTGGTCCTTCGACGAGTGCCACCCGCGCTACGCCGGCCAGGCCGCCGTGTACCAGACGCTGGCGGCCCCGCTCCTGGCCCGCGCCTTGGAGGGCTACAACGCCTGCCTCTTCGCTTACGGGCAGACGGGCTCCGGGAAGTCGTACACGTGAGTGTGGCTGCCGACGTGGCTCTGGGCGGGTGTGTGTGTGTGTGTGTGTGTCTTTCGTGAGAAGCGGCCTGGCTTGATTGACGGCACACAGTTCTTTTTTTATTTTATTTTTTGATTTTTTATTGATTTTTTACAGAGAGGAAGGGAGAGGGATAGAGAGTTAGAAACATCGATGAGAGAGAAACATCGATCAGCTGCCTCCTGCACACCTCCTACTGGGGATGTGCCCGCAACCAAGGTACATGCCCTTGACCGGAATGGAACCCGGGAGCCTTGAGTCCGCAGGCCGATGCTCTATCCACTGAGCCAAACCAGCCAGGGGGATGGCACACGGTTCTGAGACCACAGGGATCCGGGCTCAGGTCTGCTCGGTGTACACGCTAGTCCCGCACCCTTGGTCCAGCTGCCTGACCTCTCGGCTCCGGTTTATGCCCAGGAGTCGACCTTTGCGAGAGTCATTGGCCCCGTTTTACTGTAAAGCGAGCATGTCAAACGCAAAGGCTAACACGGGCCAGATGAACAAGGTTGAAGTGTCTGTGGGCCGCAAAAAAGCAAAAGCTTCCACTTTCATAGAAACGTGGGTTTATTTCGATAGAGACACGCTGAATACAAAGGGCTGAAATAAACGAGTCGTCGTTAACATAAAGTAATAGAACATTTTAATAAAAATTAATATTTTTGCTTGAACATTCACTTACCAGACACTGGATAACTGCACAAATGAATACGCGTCACGCAAATCAATCTGTTTTTCTTGTTCTCCGAAAGCGAACTATTTTCTGTTGCGCACACCACACACGTCAGTCCGAGCCTCTCAGCTTCCGGGGCCTCCTGGTCGCCTCCCTTCAACCCTCACGTGGCCCCTCCAGCGAGTTCACCCGGCTTCACCCCCTTATTCCCGTGCCCACTTGGGGTGATCACGTGGCCCCACCCCCCGACAGAGTTTTAAAGACCTGCTTGGTGTGACTTCCCCTCTTCACGTAGGATGATGGGATTCGGTGAAGAACCAGGAATCATCCCTAGATTCTGCGAAGACCTGTTTGCTCAAGTGGCCAAACACCAAACCCAGGAGGTAGGTGCCGGGGGCTGCAGGCCTTCGTGTTGGGCTAGAAGACAGCCAAAGCGGGTAGACATCGGAGTCGGGGCCACCGAGGAAGCCCCCAGGGGGAGACGGGCCCTAACTTCCCTCTGCGCCTGGGTGGGCGAGGGCCCAGGGGTGGGCCAGGGCCCAGGGGCGGGCGAGGGCGGGGCTGCGGCCTGGAGTTGGTTCCTCCTGGTGGCAGCGGCGGAGGAGGATGGAGGAGGCGCGTCTGCTGTGTCCCACGGAGGGAGCCGGCCCCGCTGTGCGGGTCTCTGCACTCAGCCCCCGGTGCACCGACCCCGCAGGACACAGGCCCGAGCTTAGGGCGTGAAGCTGCTGATGTGCGAGCTTGGAGTTCAACTCCCAGGCCCTGTGGGTCAGAGAGCGGAAGGGAGAAACGGGCCATTAAGTGCTAATACATGAAACTCTAACCCAGAATGAGGAGGGGCTGCTGTGAGAACCGTGGGGGGGGGAGGTCTTCTCAGGGGGACAGCTGGGCTGGGGAAGGACACGGTCATTACTGGTGGGGAGGGGGCGGGCCACCCAGGCGGAGGGCAGCAGGTGCGGGGATTGGAAAGCGAGGACGCGGGAGCAATGGGGTCTGTAGACTGTCTGCTCTGCTTGGAGCCGGAGCCAGAGGGTGGAGGGTGGAGGGTGGAGGGTGACAGGAGGCCCCTGTCGGATGCACAGGTTGCAGACCGCACGAGGGCGTTAGGCGGTAAGTTGCAGGCTGAGCTTCTCTCCTACCAGGTCAGGTATCACCTGGAAATGAGCTTCTTTGAAGTTTATAACGAAAAAATCCACGACCTGCTGGTGGGCAGAGGCGACGGCAGGCAGGGGAAGCAGGCGGTGAGTGGGAGCGTCTGTCGCTGGTGCCCAGTGTCCTTGTTTACGATTGCCTGTGGTCCCACGGGTCCCCCAGGTGACACGTAGGGCCTACATGCTTACCAAACGCTGTTGTATGATAGCAGGTGCGTGGGAGCTGCAGTTGAACTGTGTTGTTATTTAGTAAAAATAAGCTGAGCGTTATCGCCAGTGGAAATTAAATGAGTTATTAAATTGAACCTCTTTATTTTAAGCAAGTATCGTGTAAAAGATACTTGTTCCAGGATATAGTTGAACCACTTAAACGCTCCATCCCAACACGTCTCTAAAGCTAAAAGGCAGTAGAAGCTCACAAAAATGGTATTGTTATAGCACTGTTCTTCCCTGGGTTATTCGTTCGGCAAACTGATATCCTATGGATAATATTTCCTGTGAAGTAGGACATTTCACAAATACATAAGCTTTTAAGAAAATGCAGTTAGAATTGAAAGTTTTTAATTTTTTTATTATTTATTTATTAGAATATATTTTTATTGATTTCAGAGAGGAAGGGCGGGGGGGGGGTGGAGAGAGAGAGAGAGACATCAATGATGAGAGAGATTCATTGATTGGTTGCCTCCTGCACACCCCCTACTGGGGATCGAACCATGACCTCTGGGTTCATAGGTCGACACTCAACCACTGAGCCACAGCAGCCGGGTTTGAGCGGTTTTAGTGCCTCACAGGTAGTTTCCGTGGGAACCTTGATGTTTATTCCTGGGTCAAGTGAAGGCAGATGTCTTGACCTTAAACTCAGAGTGTGGGGAAAAGCCGCTGAGAACTGCCTTCGCACGGACCCCCTGCCGTGCGCTGACCACCGCTCCCGCTTGCTCCACAGCTGAGGGTCCGCGAGCACCCCGTCTCCGGGCCGTATGTCGAAGCTCTGGCCGTGTAAGTCCCGTGTCCGCTGCGTGTTCTCCTGTGTGTCTACCTTTCCCAGCACCCGCGGGGCCTGGCGCAGACCATGAATTACACGAGTGGGCAATGCTTGGTGTTCTCCCTCTGTCCCTCTCCGCTGCGGTTTGTATCTGCTCCTTAAGCCGCCGGGGGAGGAGGTGTAAGATGAGTTCATGGTAAGAGTTTCGGTTTTTTAAAATAATTTTCATTGGTTTCAGAGGGGAAGAGAGAGAGAGAGAGAGAGAGAGAGAGAGAGAGAGAGAGAAACATCAGTGATGAGAGGGGATCACGGATCCGATGCCTCCTGACACTGGGCATCCAGCCCACAGCCCGGGCCTGTGCCCTGACCGGGATGGAGGCTGGGGACGTTGTCATGGAAACTGGGAATGTTGTCACGGGGAGGCCCTCAGGGGCTTCCCTCCTTACTGTGCGAGAACAAGAGCGTAACCGCCTCTGCCTTTTCCCTTCCCACCAGGAACGCCGTGGGTTCCTACTCCGACATCCAGGTAAGAGGGGCTGTCCCCCACCTTCTGCCCCCTGGAGAGTGACCGTGGCCACGAGCCTAGGAGAATATCCTCCTCGGCTGCTGGTCGCAGGAGGGAACGGTTAACCTTGTTCACTTATCAGGAGCAGGTTTCGTTTATTGAACTTTATTCAAGAGAATTTCTCTTCTGAACTAAAAACAAATCCCGTCAGCGTAGTTACAGCAGCTGCCTTTCAGAGTTATTATTTCCTAGGAGGACCTTTGTAAGACAACAACAAAGAGTTTTTAAAATATATATATTTTATTGATTTTTTACAGAGAGGAAGGGAGAGGGATAGAGAGTTAGAAACATCGATGAGAGAGAAACATCGATCAGCTGCCTCCTGCACACTCCCTACTGGGGATGTGCCCGCAACCCAGGTACATGCCCTTGACCGGAATCGAACCTGGGACCTTCCAGTCCACAGGCCGGCGCTCTATCCACTGAGCCATACCGGTCAGGGCAACAAAGACTTTTTTTTAAAAAAGTTACTATTTCCCGACTCAGATATCGGGGTAGACAACACCGGACAGTGGGCATACAGAGGACTGCACGGTAGACATGGACGAGTGGCTTCATTTTACGAAGTGACGGGCGTGGGGTCAAGGGAGGTGCGGGTGACCTCCCCCCGGGCCCCGCCCACAGCCCGGCCTCTCTCCCCCGCAGGGCTGGCTGCAGCTGGGGAGCAAGCAGCGGGCCACGGCGGCCACCGGCATGAACGACAAGAGCTCCCGCTCGCACTCGGTGCTCACGCTGCTGCTGACCCGCACCCAGGTGGGACCTGCGTCGCGCCTCACACGCCTCCTCCCTTTCCTTTCAGTCAAAGGTAAAAGGACGTCCGTGTACAGGCCTGACAGCGTTGGGTTTGAGGACATAGACTCGGCGGCTGGATCAGGTTTGGTGCAGATGGCTATAGGTTTTTCTCACCGTTTTAAAAACCGATAATACCTATTATTCATTTACCGTGATACCGTGGGCGTTCTATCAACATGTGATGTGTTCTCAGTAACGCGTGGGGATTACCGGACGGTATTTGGAAAATCCCATCAGAAAGTAAAAGGTTTCTTCTAACTCAGCTATCGGGCCCGGGGCTCCAATGAAACCGCTCTAAACATCTCGGGGAACGTGTTTCAATGGTGTGACCGTTCCGCCTGAACGAGTTTACAAGCTCTGCAGCACGTTCATGTGACTGCCACGCTGTGTGAAATGTTTGTCATGGCTGCCTGACGTTCCCTTGACCTCGCTTCCTCCAGTCTTTACCGCTGGGCGTTTGTGTGGCTTTTAGTCCAAGAGCTGTTGTTTGTTTTTGCATGAGAGAGAGAGAGAGAGAGAGAGACAGAGAGAGAGCCATAAACTTGTTGTCCCCCCTGCTGATGCATTCCTTCCTGCTGATGCATTCATTCCTGCTGATGCACTCATTCCTGCTGATGCATTCATTCCT